TGTCGGACTGGTTTCAGACGGCATGTAGTGTCCAACACATGTATCTCAGGTTGCAGAGAAAGTGTTTGTCGGACTGGCTTCAGACGGCATGTAGTGTCCAACACATGTATCTCAGGTTGCAGAGAAAGTGTTTGTCGGACTGGTTTCAGACGGCATGTAGTGTCCAACACATGTATCTCAGGTTGCAGAGAAAGTGTTTGTCGGACTGGCTTCAGACGGCATGTAGTGTCCAACACATGTATCTCAGGTTGCAGAGAAAGTGTTTGTCGGACTGGCTTCAGACGGCATGTAGTGTCCAACACATGTATCTTGGGTTGCGTACAAAGTGTTTGTCGGACTGGTTTCAGACGGCATGTAGTGTCCAACACATGTATCTCAGCTTGCGTACAAAGTGTTTGTCTGACTGGTTTCAGATGGCATGTAGTGTCCAACACATGTATCTCAGCTTGCGTACAAAGTGTTCGAGGGACTGGCTTTAACTGATAGCTGGTTTCCTGTGCGTCTTGCTCTGTTTCCATTGCAGCAGACTGGTAATCAACTATTTGTGGGCGATTTTCTGACTCTGTCTGAGTTTCAACAGAAACCATTGGACTCTTTCTTAGTCTTCTCACGGATAGTATTTTTCTCATCAAATCTTTCTGTTGTTTAATTTCACCATTTAGTTTCTTATTTATTGCAGACATCTCATCAAGTTGTTTCATGAGGTACTTCTGTACTGCAATATGGACCAGTTCAAATTCCATCAATTTGGCTAAACACTCACACTTCGGATGACTTGTTGCCTTTTCAGAGGGGTAGGGTGAAACCATAGAAAAATTGTGGGGTCCAATGATATCAGGGAAAAAGCTGACATCTACATGAGGCTCTGAGTCGGGGACCGTTTTCCAAAATGTCTTTGGTCCGCTGCTGGGCAAAGCTCCCTGATGACTTTGTTGTTCTGCCAGAGGACCATTACTGATCTCATCATTTTCAGCAAAAAACGAAAGATCAATGCAAGCACCTTCCTCGGGGAAGGATTTCCACAACAGTGGGGTCCTCTTGTTGCGCTTACTCTTAGAAAGCTGTTTGTCCCTTTTTTGATTGACTTTCTTCACTGACCTGGAGATGTTTTGCTCTTCAGCGTCCGGCTGTGTGGTAGAAATTGCCGTGCTGCCAGGAAAAGTTTCCTCCTTCAAGGAAACGCTTTCGTCACGTTCTTGTGAAACCATTGAAACATTTTTTGTTCCAATGATATCAGGGAAAAAGCTGACATCCACATGAGGCTCTGAGTGGGGGAGCGTTTTCCAAAGGGTCTTCGGTCCGCTGCTGGGCAAAGCTGCCTGATGACTTTGTTGTTCTGCCAGAGGACCAATACTGATCTCATCATTCTCAGCAAAAAACGAAAGATCAATGCAAGCACCTTCCTCGGGGAAGGATTTCCACAACAGTGGGGTCCTCTTGTTGCGCTTACTCTTCGAATGCTGTTTGTCCCCTTCTTGATTGACTTTCTTTAGTGAGCTGAAGATGTTTTGCTCTTCGGCGTCCGGCTGTGTGGTAGAAATTGCCGTGCTGCAAGGAAAACTTTCCTCTTTCAAGGAAACGCCTTCGTCACGTTCTTGTGAAACCATTGAAACATTTTTTGTTCCAATGATATCAGCAAAAAAGCTGACATCCACATGAGGCTCTGAGTCGGGGAGCGTTTTCCAAAGGGTCTTCGGTCCGCTGCTGGGCAAAGCTGCCTGATGACTTTGTTGTTCTGCCAGAGGACCATTACCTATCTCATCATTTTCAGCAAAAAACGTAAGATCAATGCAAGTACCTTCCTCGGGGAAGGATTTCCACAACAGTGGGGTCCTCTTGTTGCGCTTACTCTTAGAAAGCTGTTTGTCCCTTTTTTGATTGACTTTCTTTACTGAGCTGGAGATGTTTTGCTCTTCGGCGTCCGGCTGTGTGCTAGAAATCGCTGTGTTTTCAGGAAAACTTTCCTCTTTCAAGGAAACGTCTTCGTCACGTTCTTGTGAAGCCATTGGAACATTTTTTGTTCCAATGATCTCAGCGAAAAAGCTGACATCCACATGAGGCTCTGAGTCGGGGAGCGTTTTCCAAAATGTCTTTGGTCCGCTGCTGGGCAAAGCTGCCTGATGATTTTGTTGTTCTGCCAGAGGACCATTACTGATCTCATCATTTTCAGCAAAAAACGTAAGATCAATGCAAGCACCTTCCTCGGGGAAGGATTTCCACAACAGTGGGGTCTTCTTGTTGCGCTTACTCTTAGAAAGCTGTTTGTCTCCTTTTTCATCCACTGTCTCCAATGCATTGGTAATTGATTCACTTTCTACCATCATTGAGGAGTCCTGCAGTTTGATATTCTCAGCAGACTTCTTCAGCTCCTCAGCTGCGTGCAGCTCCCACCACACTGCAAATGACATCTTCTTCTTTTTGCGCTTGGGTGGTTTGGGTGGCTGTAACTCCCTGTCCACAATGTTGTCGGTTGCGACTTCTTCGACTGTCGGTTGGTTGGACGGCATTGTATCCTTTCGTTGATTTGGGTTGTTAATTAAAATCACTTTTCTAGAATCTCTGTAAAATTTCAAGTTAAGTTTGATGTCAATCTCCTAAAGAAATGAGCACCAAACAAAGTTGAAGATCTTACTGTGAACTGCTAAACGAACTCTCAAGACAAACGTATCACCAACGGCTGCGAACAGGTTGTGACATCAGTAGATCGATGTGAGGAACTTTAATAATCGCTGGTGATGTCAGAATTCTGCCTTTGGAGTCACATTGTGATGTCATAGTTTCAGAGAGTGTCAGTGGGCTTTTAAACTGTCACTGGTTGCCATAGTTATCAGTGACTATGGTAACTGAGGCAGGTGAGGCAGACCCTCACCTGTCATAATGGAAAAATATAAAATAATTTATATTGCTGCCAACTTAATAACAGTATAATTTTTAAAAAGCTTTCTGAATATATATATATATATATATATATATATATATATATATATATATATATATATATATATATATATATATACTTCACTCAGCCAATTACAACGGCTGAGTGAAGTACCATCTGAAAGCCCCATTGACAATGTGAATGCAGCATTGAGAACGATCCCTACCAACACCATAACAGAAACCAATGAGCTGATCTACAACTCAGCATCAGTGATCCTTGAGATACTTGGCTATAAGAGCAACCATGAGACCCAATACCCACCATGGAAAAGACGGTTAGAGGCTAAAATAAAGTAAAAAGGAGAGAAGTGAGCCAACTATCAGAGCTCCACAAGGGTGCAATGAAAAGACCAATACCTAGAAAGTACAGCCAGATGCTCATACCTGAAGCACTCGAAACTGCTACACAAGGCATGGAGCCTCGGCCAGCTGCCTAAAGAGATTCACAAGGGAGAATGAATCCAGAAGGATTAACCGGCTCTTCTCCACTCAACCAGCTAAGGTGTACTCTCAATGGCAGGGTAATAACAACAGAGCAGACCCACCAAGGCTGGAGACGGAACAATACTGGAAAGGCATATGGGAAAGGGAGGCGTCCCACAACAGCAATGCACAGTGGAACAATAGCAGACATAGAGGACAGTTACAAGTACCTAGGTATACCACAAGCAAATGGCAACTGGACTCAAGGACAGCACAGAGGCCCTCATCCTGGCCGCCCAGGAACAGGCCCTAAACACCAGAGCAATAGAGGCCCAGATCTACCACACCAGACAAGACCCAAGGTGTAGGTTGTGCAAGGAGGCCCCTGAGACAGTCCAGCACATCACAGCAGGGTGCAAGATACTGGCAGGGAAAGCGTACATGGAGCGACATAACCAAGTGGCAGGCATAGTGTACAGAAACATCTGTGCAGAATATGGACTGGAAACCCCGAGATCAAAGTGGGAAACACCCCCAAAGGTGGTGGAGAACGCCAGAGCTAAGATCCTGTGGGACTTCCAGATCCAGACAGACAAAATGGTAATGGCGAACCAACCAGACATTGTCGTAGTGGATAAACATCAGAGGAAAGCCGTTGTGGTAGCAATACCAAGTGATTGCAACATCAGGAAAAAGGAGCACGAGAAACTGGAGAAATACCAGGGCCTCAGGGAAGAACTGGAGAGGGCCTGGAAGGTGAAGACCACAGTGGTGCCTGTGGTCATCGGGGCCCTCGGGGCAGTAACCCCCAAACTGGAGCAGTGGCTCCAACAGATCCCAGGAACAACATCAGACATCTCAGTCCAGAAATGTGCAGTCCTTGGCACAGCCAAGATACTGCGCAGAACCCTCAAGCTCCCAGGCCTCTGGTAGAGGACCTGAGCTCAGAGGATAACAACCACCCGCGGTGGGTGAGAAGGGAATTTTTTTTATATGTATATATATCTATGTAGTATCCTCTAACAGAGCCCTGGGAGCTTCAGGGTTCTGCGCTGTATCTTAACTGTGCCTATATCTGCACATTTCTGGACTGAGATGTCTGATGTTGTTCCTGGGATTTGTTTTAGCCATTGCTCCAGTTTATTTAACGTTTGAACTGTTAAGATAGCTATGAGTCTGAAGTATTTATGACTTTTAGATATTCATGGATGATGGTCGTCCCAATCCACCTGCAGAGATCCTTAAAATGGACGCCATGTCAGTGACAGGAATCCATATGGAAAACATTGTTTATGAAACACAGCGGAGGAAGCATCATGCTGTGTGGCTGCTTTTCTTCCGCAGATGGAAATTCAGATGGATTTATTCACAGGACTGTCCTGGAAGAAGGTTAATTTTTCAGAAGGGCATAGTCAAAGTCCGAAACTTTTTCTCATATACTCTCCATCCAATCTGTAGCTTCATGGAAATCAAACTCTTTCATTATGTTGTAGTTTTCTTCCACCCTGTCCTGGTTGGTGGCATAAAATCCGGTTGTGGTTATAAAGTCACAGGAAGTGGAAGTGTCTCCTGGGAATGAAAATGAATGGCTGGATGTTGACGGAGCGCTGCAGCTCGACGTGCGGATCAGGCTCAGCTGCAGGTTGGTGACACTAGTGAGGTTTAATGAACGATGCCAGCAGGCTCTATTGTGGCTAAAGTGTGAACCACTCCAAATTCTCAACCATAATCGAGAATCAAGAAGAAACTGAAAGTTATTAACCCCTCAGTAAGAAATGGACCGTTTTTATTCCCATTGCCCAAAACAAATAGTGCAGTAAATGTTAAGTGAGTCTCCAAGCCGTCACCAAATCAGCAGCTTGTTGGTGTAGAAATCCCTCCAAGAGCAAATCTAAACAAACTATAGATGAAGAGAAACAGGAAAACCAGCTCATTCCTATTTCCTGTGAAAGCGCGAAGCTGCTCAAACCACAGACATAAAGATATAGCTGGCAGGAACTTCATAATAATCTCTACACCATATGTTTGCCTCAGAATGATGTGACTGCTGACGGCTGCAGCAGCAGCAGCAGAAAAAGAAGAAAATCGCACCACAAACTGCAGCAACAGCACCAAACCTGCTGCTGCTTCAAACACAAAGATGGTGGATTGGAAAAAATTTTTTTGCCATCAATTTATCCCCCCCTCTCATGAACCACACACACACACCCACACACACCTACACACACACACACACACGCACACTCACACACTCTTAACGACTGAGTGCGTCTGTAAGAGAGCAAATGTATACGAGGACAATGCAAACGCTCGGCACCCAGAGTTAGAAAACCACTCATCTAAATCAGGGAAATTATGATAATGGAGAAACTCATTATTCTCCCACTGACTCCGGATCAGTTTCTGACGTTCTATTCACACAAACTGATTGGACAACATAAAGAGGAAGATGATGCTTCAGAACTTTCTCTTCTTCACGGGGCCGAGGCCTCTCCAGGCAGGAAGCCGGGCGCTCAGGTAGGGGTTGCAGGGGGTCACAAAGGTCACCATCCTGGACAGCGGCGCCGCACGCTCACGTCCTCGGGTCACTCTGTGCAAACATAGGAAGCATGAGGTGTCCAAAGTGTGGCTTGGGGGCCATTAATGGCCTTGAAATGATTTTGTTTGACTCCTGACCACAAATCAAGATAAATTCAGTTTGGTAAAAATTCAGCCTAGAATAGAAAATAATGGCAAAAATCTGTTTTCCTTTCAGTAAGGCAACAATGCAAAGTCCTCTTTATGTTCTGGCTCTGTAAAACATTTCTACAAATGTTTTTTATTGTTAAGCAGGAAATAATAAAAGATCACAATAAACACATTATTTAAGTTTTAATTTAATACATTTTGTGGCCCGCCATTAGTTAAAAAGGTTTGAACGTGACGTAGCGCATATGTGTCAAACTGAGGGTTCGTGGGCCAAATCCAGCCTCCAGAAGTTTGTATGTGGCCCTGTAAACTCAAGACTACAGTCATTTTTAAATATTATATTTTATATATTTAACTTTATTTAAGTTCAATAGGAACTCATCGAATGGAGGAATAGCTGTTTATTTGCATTTTAGCCATTTGTTAATAGTTGTAGATCTTGATGAGTTTCAGACGATGTAGGAAATTCAGACAAAAGTAAAAACTTCTGCATAGTGGCAGCATTATGTTGCAAATTTCTCCCAAATTCAAAATAAAGGAATACTATCAATTTTTCAAAACAGGAAATGATAACCAAAAAAAGTAGAAAAGCAGCAAAAATAGAGTTCATAACAATATTTAAAAACTAATTATTTTGGTTTCAATCGAACGAGAGACAGAAATCCCAGGGAGCGTCCGACCGTTGCTGCAGACCGTTAATCAATCCAAGAGCCTGCGTTTCTCTCTGCTGGGGAAAACGCTGGGAGGCCAGTCTAATCAGCAGAGGAAACAGATCTGAGAGGGTGTCAGGCACCAGGAAAATGGATCTGGGTTGTGAAAAACCACCGTTACCACGAGCTGCTCTGGATTCAGCCATCTGGAGATGCCTGCTCCAAAAGCCAGTAAAGTTTGTTAAACTGGGGCCCAGCTAGGAAACAGGTTTCCACCTCCTCAACAGACAGCCAGCTCTCCCAGAGGGGAACGGCACTTTCCTCTCACTTTTTTCCGCTCTGCAGATGTTTGATGTCTGTCATCATGTAAAAAAACGTTTTCCTGACATAAAACATCCTATTTTACTTACATATATATATATTTTACTGATTTTAGGAGAAGTTTTAATTTTTTTAACTCTGAGTATCCAACCTGTTTTTCTTCTTCCTTTGTTTTCTTCTTAGCATTTTAAAATAATTTTGATGTAAATAAGAAATTCTTCTCAATAAGTCACCTGGTTTGATAAAGGTAAAATTAATGAATAAAATTCAGGAAGATTCAGATGCAGATCCTTATATAGCTGTAAATAAAGCCACATTATTAAACATGCACCAAAACAGAAAGATAGAAATACTAAATAATATGTCAATAATGCAAAATAAGGCAAATATTTTATGGTTCTTAAGTAATAATCACCTTTCACCTTGTTTTTTATTATTTTTTAATTTTAGATAAATAGTCACTACAATAACTATTTTATGTTTTGTTTATAATAATAATAATAATAATAATAATAATAATAATTATTATTATTATTATTATTATTATTATTATTATTATTATTATAAACAAAACATAAAATAATAATAATTATTATATAATAATAATAATTATTATTATTATTATTATTATTACGTTCATTAATTTCTGAAAATGTTTGACGTGAGTTTAGTTTTCTTTTTATTATCAAAGTGAGAGCTGTTGAAGCTGTATGACCTTTTGTCGCCCTCTAGTGGAGGTTTGTGATCGTCTTCAGTAAAATGTGGATTTTTTGTTGGTTTTTCAGTTCAGCCATTTGAAGCAAACACACATAAAATATGTTAGTTTTTGTTGTTGTTTATTTTCACGTTAGTTGTTTATTTTCAGTTCGTTAGTATCTTTTAAAAAAGATACTAACGAACTGGAGTATTTTTAAAATGGAAACTATAAGGTGTAACAAAGTATTTATCATTAATCGTGTTTTGTATTATGTTGGACTACAAACATCCAGTGATTTTTACTGAAGAGCAGATTTTTATTTTAACTTCGTGGAATAAAACGAGTGATTCATATCTGAGCTTAACAAAATGTAAATCAATCCAAAAAAACAATACTGTTTGCTCTTTTTTTTTCTAATCAGGCAAACCTGCATGTGAAGCACAAAACATAAAATAGTTTTTGCAATTTTAATAAAAGAAAAACATACATTTTGTTGCTGCTGAGAACTTTCTACAGGACAGTTTTGACTTTTAGTGGAGAAAGTTTTAACACCACTAAATTCAGTTAACCTTCATGTTTTTGGACATGAAGCCAAAGTACCAGGTCAGGATTTGAACCCAGGATTGTTTTGCTGCCTGTGATTTGCAGTAATAGTAAAGAGTACAGCTCACCCAGAGACAGAGGCCTCCTCAGCAGCAGGGGGAGCATGGACACCTCTGCCTGTGAAGCCTGGCATTGTGGTCCCACTGGCACACAAACAGAAATGAGGTTTCTGGATATTTCTGTACGACCAACAAGCTAAATGAATAACAGCATAAGAACAGGTTTTCGGACGCAGCTTGTGTCTCACTGCGCTGTCAGTGTGTACGCCGGTGTGACGCTCCTCTTCACAGTGAGAGGCTGGAAATCTGCCTCCATGTTGTCAATGTCGTCCATCTTCTCTGAGCCAAACGCTCCGCTGTAAAGACATGAGACATCTCTTGCATTCATTCATTCATCTCCCTCAAGAGTCATCCTCCGCCAGCATTTTTAGTCTCTAAGATTTATGTTGTACTGTCTGACCTCACAGGATATTTTTGTTAACTTGCCAAAGATTTTAAGCAAAAGTTGAAAACATTGAGTCTGAACAAACAAGGGAGTGAATGGATTCCAGCACAAGAGGAGATAATCAGAACTAAAAGCAGAAAAGGACATAAAGTGGAAAGCATGCATGTGATAATAACTATGTGAGGTAGATATATTGGGAAATGCTATATGGTATTGAGATGTTTCCAAGAATCCTTTTAGAGACGTTATCCAGAGATCAACAGGGGATTTTCTATGATTGGGCCAATATTGTCTCAGGATTTGGTTTTCCTGACTTGAGCTGCAATTTGACATCATTTCTTCAGCTGAAGTTCTGCCTGCAGAGTTTTAACTCCTAAAGCATCAACACACCAGCATCTCGAAGACGAACACTGGAAAATACGCCAGAAAAACTTGGTGCTATGATCAGGATGCAAACCTGCTGGATTTCAAATCCAATGGGATTACCTCCAGTGGATTTGAAAGTGGCCAGACACTGCAGTGTCTTCACAGCTCTTTTAAGCTTTTCAGCCAGATTGAGATCTAGACTTTGACTGGTCCACAGCTACACCTGATTCTTCTCTTGTTCAGACCTTCTCTTATAGGTCTGCTGCTTTATTTGTGTTCTTTTTATAACACATTTTAGACCAGATTTGACTCTACAATAGTTTGGTGTAAAGAGCAGTTCATTCTTGACTTAAGCTAAGGACGTCAGTAACAGCAAAGCATCTCCACCACCATGTTGGATTTAATTCTTTGAACAAAACTGTGCATTATAACCAAGCATGTCATTTAAAATATGTTTACAGAAATTGTTTTGTTCATCAAGATGTAACTTTGCCAACGTAAGTCCATTGCTATTTTCTTCTAAAGATTCATTCCAGAAATTTTCCCTTCAGTTGTTCCAAACAAATCTTACTTATTTAGATTTTTTCTCATTTTCCTGCCATTAACTGAAGCACAAAGAATCCAACATGGGCTTTTGGAAAGAGCAGCGTCTTGTAAATATTCTGTGAAAAGTTGGATTTCAAGCTGCCTGGAAGTGGGTAGTAACAGATCTTCGCTTCACTGAGATCTTTAGCATTGATTAGCAGCACCTGGCTGCTACTTTTCCTCTTAATGTCGGTGAAAGCAGCAGGAATGTACCTTATTTTCCCCTAGTAGTAATCCCCAAAACTCACTTAAATGAAGGGATTTGCCCTGATCTTGCATATCTGCTGCAGCTGCAGGAAAAACAAAACAAACAAAAACACTTCAGTTGGATTTCTGATTGAAACGTAGACTCAGAAACGCAGACTCCGCCGAGAGCTGAAAGCGTACAATGAAATGGGTTTCCTGGCGTCGTTCCTGCGTCGAAGCTGTCGCCTGTTCCACTCAGCGCCTGCAGGCTGGAGCCGCACAGCAACAATCAATCTGAAAGCAGCATCTGACTGCAGAAACATCTTACTCTGACAAACAAACCACTGATTTAGAAGAAAATAAACAGGTTCTGATTTGCTGAAAATGTTTTTAAAGTGCTGTTTTGAAAAATTGGGGCCAGATTAGGTAAACTTTTAATTTCTACATCATGATTCAGTAGTTTAAAACAGTTTAGAAAAATATTTTTTTTGTCTTTTTGTATAAAGTAAATACAAAATAAGAAAAAAAAATTTCTCCCTCATTGTAATTATACTGCGAATTATACTGTAAGTATTTTTACTTTAGTTTCTTGTGCAAAGTTCAAACTGACTTATCAGTAACTTTTCAGGACAATAGTGTGAAGTTTTAAGCAAACAATTCCTTCAATATTGATTGAAAAAAAGTAACAGCAAACTCAAAAGAAGACTTATTTTTAAAGACAAGTAAAATAATCTGCTAGTGAAATTACTACTTTTTAAATCAATATTAAAGGAATTAAAAGAACTCCCACATCTTGCTAAAATATTTATAAGTTCATTTTGTTTTAATTCAAGTGTACAAAGATATTTTCACTTGAAACTCGACCAAAGACTCTTGGTAGATTGTGTGTTTTTGCCGTGTAAACTGGATTATTTCTATTAAATAGCATCAGGCTAATTACAGAACACCAGACATGTTCTGGCCCTTTAAGAGAAAGAAAGGAAGTAAAACTGGAGAAATGGTCTAGAAGTGAGTCAGTCAGGACAGAGCTCACCTGCCACAGCGGAGGCCTGATGATGTGACGCCGTGGTGAGGTCTGCTTGCTCACAGGGTCGGCCCGGTGCTCCAGTGTCGCTCCAGCTGCATTTAGAGGTCTGGGGAACTTCAGACCCCCATTCACCCCCTCATAGCTCCTGTAAGGACAGTTCTGGGTATCAGTTTGGGTTTATTTCCCCTCCATTGGTCCTCTTTCATTGTATAATCTCAGTATGGCAGCCTGAGTGATGATCTGATTCTGCTCCAGGCGTGGAGAAAGGGAACATTTCATCTGCACGGTTTCTCTGCACAGCTCTTAACGTGAGCTGAGGCCACAAGGTTTGCTGATGACATCATCAGAGCGCAGGATTTAACCTATTCACTCTGGATTACTCCAAAGGCAGAATGACACTCTGCAGGCTTTACATAATGACGCGTGTGGGAGGGGAGCTTTGTTTGGCTTTATTATTAGATGTCTCTGTTTCCTGACCTCTGAGTGGAAGAAGTGTAAATGTGGCATTGGAGCGCCGCTGAGTCATCGTTCCACGAGCTGCGAGCCGACGAAGAGGAGGGCTGATGGAGAAGAAAGTTTAGTGGAGGAAGATCACCAGAGGTTCAGTCTGATCACAAAACAGTAGAGAGAAACGACGAGGATGAAGGTCATCCATCCATCCATCCATCCATCCATCCATCCATTTATCCATCCATCCATCCATCCATCCATCCATCCATCCATCCATCCATCCATTTATCCATCCATCCATTTATCCATCCATCCATCCATCCATCCATCCATCCATCCATCCATTTATCCATCCATCCATCCATCATCCATCCATCCATCCATCCATCCGTCCATTCATCCATCCATCCACCATTTATCCATCCATCCATCCATCATCCATCCATCCATCCATCCATCCATCCATCCATCCATCCATTTATCCATCCATCCATTTATCCATCCATCCATCCATCCATCCATCCATCCATCCATTTATCCATCCATCCATCCATCATCCATCCATCCATCCATCCATCCATCCATCCGTCCATTCATCCATCCATCCATCCATTTATCCATCCATCCATCCATCATCCATCCATCCATCCATCCATCCATCCATACATTTATCCATCCATCCATCCATCATCCATCCATCCATCCATCCATCCATCCGTCCATTCATCCATCCATCCATCCATTTATCCATCCATCCATCCATCATCCATCCGTCCATCCATCCATCCATCCATCCATCCATCCATTATCCATCCATCCATCCATCCATCCATCCATCATCCATCCATCCATCCATCCGTCCATTCATCCATCCATCCGTCCATCCATCCATCCATCCATCCATCCATCCATCCATCCATCCATTTATCCATCCATCCATCCATCCATCCATCCATCCATCCATCCATTTATCCATCCATCCATCCATCCATCCATCCATTTATCCATCCATCCATCCATCCATCCATCCATCCATCCGTCTGTTACCTTTCTAGTCAGTGATCTACAGATTTTTCTCCTTTTAACTTCAGTCATAATATTCAACATAAAATCATAAAACAGGATAATGTTATCAAAGCGAACAGCTGGCTGACGATGTTTGATGGATAATACTTCACTTCTGCTATAAAACACAAGTGATTAGAAATTGCAGTAAAAAACACAAACTAAGTTGTAAGGCGTGAGAAAGAGGCTGAATGTCAGGAGTTAATGAACATTTTAACTGTGGATTATTCCGTTTCTCCATCTGACAACAAAGAGCCGGTTTGGTCATTACTCACCAGATGTTTTTCAGGGAGGCTGCGGCGCGTTGCTGCTGTCCTCTGTGACTGAGTGGGAACGGCTGAACCTTGGACTGACACCACAGATTCAACTTTCAGCAACAAAATGTGAATTATGATCATAAACTGAGCTCAGATTGCCTGAGAAGAGATGCTTCAAATCCACGTCTCAACAAATTATAGCAGGGTTTAAAATGCAACCTTTAGTGTTCTTATTGTAAGATTTAATAAATAAAAACTAAAATCGCCCTGAAGTCTTGTTTCTGCTGTTTGCTGCTGTTTTAAATTCTGACAGTGAAGCAGCCATTAGCTCTAATGGCTGTGATTACAGGTGAACACTAACGCAGAGTCAGTGGATTGTTGCTTTTTCAGCCCAATTATGCGTCTCTATAGCATTTCATTTGCATTCCTGCTCTGCAGTTCTACTTTGCATTAATAATCTCTTGTTAATGTGAATTTTAGGCTTTAAAAAGTTCTTACAAAAGAAAGAAAATTTGTATTTCTTATTTTCTACAACTTTTAGAAGGTTTTAAGCAAAACTACCAACTATGACAATCAATCCTTCCTTACTTTACAGCAAATATTTAAAACCTTTACTCCTTCAGTTAAATTATTTCACCACCCACTCTTGCTTTTGTTGCTGCATCAGTGACCCTAATGAAGTTGGATAAAATACTCAAACTTAAGCAGAAGTACAATTAAATAAAAATCACAACTCTAACATGTTTACTTAATTATAACTACATGCTTTGAAATTACTTAAAGCATTAAAAGTAAATGTATTTCATGAATATATTTCGTACTTCAGTTATTTGGAATATCATTAACTGTTTGTATATTTTCTTGAGTATATAATTAGTCTTGTGGCATTTTAACGGTCCATCTTCTTACACATGAATTTGTGACCTGCAAAGTTTAATACCATTAACTCAAATAAAACAGACGGATGATTTTACCTTTAAAGTTTTTATTCGAAACAAATCAAAATGTGTTATTTTGTCAGCTTAATGACTTTGTGTTTGTTATGATGTAAAGCACTGTGAAATGCTTTGCTTCTGAAATGTGCTAAACAAATAACATCTGATTTGATTTGATTTTGATTTTAACTGCAGAAAACAGATTGCAGTGAAAGTTATGTGCAGAGAAATGGACTTTAGACACACCTAACACAGAATCATTTCCACTGACATTTCAACCCGTTTGTCACAGTTAAAAAATACTTTCAGCTTTTTAATGGATTATTAGTGAACAATGTTTCAGTTTCCTCACACCTTTTTCAAAACTTGAACCCAAAAGTTATCTTTTGATGTAGCGTTGTTGTCTGTGTTAAAAGCTGAAAATGTCTGTGCGTCTGCACCAAGTGTGTTCTCTGTCAAAATGACCATTTAAAAAACACATTAAATGTGTTCAATTAATGAGATATGATGTGAATATACATGCAAACACAGCTTCATAGAAATGCAGTGGAGTAGAAAGTATCCAGAATTGAATCTGGGTTTGTAAAGCAGATGCACCAAAGTAAATAACTAAGTGTTGGACTCCACTGGTTGGGTCAGCACTAACCTGACAGGCTGGGAGTTGTTTGAGGCCTTTTTCTGAGCCCCTGTGAAAACGGATCTATGAACTCTGTCCGGCTTTGCATCCCAAGCTGCACTCTGGCTGCTGCGCTCAGAAGGCCGCTGCAGGGGTCCAGCAGGGGGACATCGTCTCTGAACGGAGCCAGGGCAACGGGCCTCTGACAGGTCACACGTCCAGTTCCCGGCTCATCCCTCCTTCCTGCTCTGCACAGACCAGAACTCAGCCTGTTGATCAGTTTTATTTCTGTGGGAAGAGACATGAAGGGGTCTGAAGCTGCAGCCATGCTCAGGATGTTTTGTTTCAGTCGTTGCCTGGAAACCGTTGTTGTTTTCTGCTCTGATCAAATGACATGCGGAGAGGCCGTGAAGATGCTGCTGCACATGCGATGCATACAAACACCTCAGATCGAACCGCTTGGGAGTCTTTTGTTACCTAGAAAATACTTTAAATGGACTCACATTTAGTCAACACTGAACCCTTCTTCCATACTAAATACCATCTTTTGTCTGCAATATGCAGAACATTCAGTATGTTTATCTGATCTTTCTACTCTCTGATGATCAAAATGTTATTATTTTATCTTGCTAAGGACAATGGAGTAAAAATAATCTATTTCATTTCTCTTAAAGGTAACAGAAAATGTGTGACATCTGACCCGGAAGAAAGAAACAAAAAACACCCAATAAATGTTCAGCTGATCAATCTGCTTCATTTTGGTGGAGTGATAATCTTTGCTTGCATGGCACACTTTGTTATCCTTGTTTTGATTAGTGAGATTAGAATTAATATAATTATTGATTTTTGTGTAATCAACCAAAACCAAAGCACAGCCTAACATGCTATGATCCATCCCCATCAGATGTATCTTTGGTCAGACTGATAAAGTTTTGTATATTATCATAGTTTAATGTGTTTGTTCTGCTGCAGCTGTTATGTTTTCACAACCTGCAGCGACTGATATATCATGGTGAGGAAAATGTGTTGTGAGAGTGAGGAGCAATTATCATCCACAGAAAGCTGCGACACAAAAATGTGTTTTGGTGGCAAATGATAAACAGAAGGGTTGACCCCGCCTCGGGGTTGTTTTTTTTTTTAAAGATGTCTGCAGTTTCTCCACGTGACCACCAGATGGCGTGCATGAGCCTGTGTGGTTAAATCTGCGCTCGCTGCTCTGCTGTTCTGTCATTACAATGCAGTGCACAGGTATCAATTTTATTCAAATAAAAATGATTAAGCGGCTCCAGTATCTATCAGGTTCCTCCCCTAACAAATATGAAAGTGAGTTTTCAAATGAGCTGCTGCTGAAGGAACAACTTCATGTGAGCTGTTTGTAAAGTCCTCCATGTACTAAATGGAAAATATGTAAATTGCATGAAGGCAAAAAGAGTTTTTAAACAAAGGGAGTAATCTGGTGAAGGAGTGAGCTTGAAAGAGCCGCCTTCCAGTCAACCAAGCAAGGAAACAAAAATATTATATGCCTCACTGTCTACTAATTAGTCTGCTTTTGTTGTGTGAAATTAGTGGAAACCGAGTAAATATGCAGTTTAAGTGTATAGGTGCAGTCAAAGGCGTGAGCCCCCGCCGCGTGTGGCTGGTGAAAGCCGGCTGATTGGTGGCGCTCTTCTCAGGAGGTGTTTGTTATAAAGTTAATGTGTCAGAGGCGATGATGGTGATGCATGTTGATAGACAATTTTTTCACCCTTTTTTTAACTCAAGCCTTCATTAGCAAATGTAAACACCCAAGAGCTGTTGAAAAGAGGGAGTAAAAATAGCCTAATTAGAGTTATTCTGATTACTGAGTTGTGAATATGCCCACAACTCCCACACAATGCCCAAACACACACACACACACACCCACGCACACACACACACACACACACACACACACACACACACACACACACGCACGCACACACACACACACACATGCACACACCCACGCACACACACACCACACACACACGCACACACACACACACACACACACACGCACACACACACTCACACACACACACACACACACACACCCACGCACACACACACACACATACATCCACGCACACACACACACACACACAAAACACACACACACACACCCACACACACCCACACACACCACACACACACACACACACACACACACACACACACACACACACACACACATGCACACACACACACACACTTTACACAAGAGAGCAGAGCAGCAACGATCAAATGCAGCCCGTTTTAATTCATTTTTCAAATAAAAACTAAACACTTACTTGCTTCAGTGATGGAGTTTATAAGAAGTCTAAGGCAAATTCTTCTAATGAAAATGACTCCAGAAGTCCAAAGACTTTAAAGTCCATTATTCCAAATTCTGCATTCATTTTATTATATTCCTGTTCTGATTTAAATCTTATTTGGTTGTTTTCTTTTCCTTTTGCAGAGGATCAGACATTCCTGGAGTCATTACAGACCTTGTTACTCTCCCCTGTGTTATTAGTCAGCTTGTCTGCCATTCTCCAGACTTCTCCACTGTCTCAGAAATTATTTAAATCTCAAATCTTGCCCACGGTGCAAAGCAGCAGCAGCCACTAATTTGCACAGGCTGAATTCATCTGAGAGAAACTGTTGCTCCAGATTGAGAGGCGTTGTTGTTGCAGCTGCTGCAGAGAACCAACAAAGCCCAGATGAAGCTGTGAATCTGTAGTTCTGCTGGTCTGAATCTGAGCGGTTCTGGGTTTGGTATCCATACCGAGGTCTGTTCCTCTGCTGGAAGGTGTCTCTGCGCAGAGAGTCGGATCGGTTTGAAAGACTGAGCTGCAGGAAAAGTGATGTAGTGGCTATTTAAGAGACTGAAATGGAGAATTAAAAAAGCAGCATATTCTGTAAGTTTCCTGCTCTAATTTGGTAATGCAGAAATCCATAACTCAGAGGGGAGAAGTTGTTGGCTGAATCACGGACATTATGAAAGAGAGTCAAGAAGAAAGTGATTCTTTAAGACGGTTTTTAGGAGAGCAGCACTCCAGGCAGATTAGACCAAAATTAAGCTTCAACACTGTGAAATATGGCAGTGGCTGCATGATGCTGTGGGGATTCTGTTTTTCACTGGAGACAGGGAAGTGATCAGACTCAATGGGGAAATGGATGGAGCTAGATCGAGGACAATACTGACAGAAACCCTGAGACTGGGGTGGTTTAAACTAAAACGTGTTAGAATGGCCTAGTCAAAGTCCAGAGTTAAAACCAATTGAGAATCTGTGGTAACACAAGATTTTTACTTCCCTCTCCTTTCATACATACAAAACTACATAACACCTTTCTGAAAAAAAAAGAACGTATTAAAAATGTGTTTTAAGTAAAAATGTAAACGTTTGATAAATACAACTTGAGGTAAAAGTTTAAAAAGTTTCATTTATTAGTGATAATAAATATGAAACAGTTTTCCTTCAGTAGCCCAAACTTTCCAAAAACAAATTACTCAACACAAGAACAAAGAAAAAAAAAAAATCATCTTGAGACTTTTGGTCATTGTGGCTCAAACCATATTCATCCACTATAATGGCCTAGTCAAAGTCCAAACTTAAATCCAATTCAGAATTTGTGGAAATCTGGCAAATTGATCACAGATGCGCTCTGTTAAACCTAACTTTGGTTTTGCAAAGATTAAAAGCAAACCATCTGTAACAATATCGTAACAATTTTATGACTGGAGTGGAAATTCAAGGACATGCCACACTTTTCAGAATTGTATTTATAAGAATAAATTTCACAATGACCTACATCATAAATCTGATTAAAACACATTGAAGTTTATGATGATAATGTGACTAAAAAATCAAAAGTCCAGATATGAGACACTATAAGGACCAATCAGAACCAAGTATTTCGTCATAACTGAAGTTTTAACAAGGAGCCTCATCAACGCTTCGTGTCATTACGTAAAGCGCGCGCTGCCAGATCTGCGTCAAACGATGATAACTCAACAGTTTATTAATAGCATGAAGGCCCCGCGGTGCGGATCAGGGGTCACGCCCAACGCGCTGTAAAAGACGGACAATTGATTCCTGTCCAATGAGCGCGCATGCGTAAGACTGGCCGGCACGCGCTCGGTCTCATGCCACGCGTGGCGCCTTCAGCCATTTGGAAAAATCCAAGCAGAGCGTAGAAGAAGCTGGAGTGGCCCCGGGCCTCGGTGCAGCGCTGCCTCGCTGCCCTCGGTGGCTCCAGCTCCCCGCTTGTCACTCTCACTTAGCTCAGCCGAGTAATGAATCCGCCGCTGTGCATTTTTCATGAGGGAGGCGGGGGAGAAAAATCTGCTCCTTATGATGCCTTTAATATGGAAGTCTTCACACGCCGCGCCCCGCAGCGCCCCCTGCGGGCTTCCAGGAGGCTGCAGGATGTTAACATTCCCCCAGGGGGGAGTCAGCAGGGCGCAATGTCACTGTCAGTGATGAATATGTTGACTGCAGCGCGCAACCAACTGGAGATCAGGGCTGGGCTTGGACTGAACACCTGCTTCAATCTGGAGGGAGAAACTGGAAATAAATGGCAGAATCAGCCAGTTAAACACTGTGACCTTCCAGAAACCGTGAATTATTCAGAATGAAAGGGAGAGGAGACCATTTCAATTGGGTTTGCGGATTGGACTGGATTTCTAGAACCTGGAAAAAATGGCGGCTCTGCACTGGAAGCCATTACTGGGAAGAAAGGCCCACTGGAGGAGGAAGGACAGAGAGAAAGGAAGAGGGAGAGAGAGGAGATTTAAAAAAGAAAGAGAGAAACAAGACAGAACATCACAACAGAAAACATCAACACAGCAGTTACACAACAGGAAGGAAGAGTTGAGACTGAAGGAAGAACCTAAGGAAGGAAGGTAGGGGAAAAGGAGTGAAGGAAGGAACTAAGATAGAAGGGAAGGAGAAGGAAACAAGACAGGAAAGAAAGAACTGACAAATGAAGGGAGTAATCATTCTGGAAGGAAGGAGGTGCAAGAAAAGAAGGAAGGACAGAAGAAAGGGAAGGAGGTAAGGAAGAAGGAAGGATAGAAGGGTAATATAAATAAAGCATCAAGCACAAAGCATCCTGTTGTGTTGAATAAAAAAAATAAATTACATTATAAGAAAAAGTACAAAAATCCCAACAGGACGTCCTGCTCAAACAAGAACAAAAACTGGGACCAAAACCTGATATAAATATTGCTGTTTTGGCCGATTACCAATATTTCATATGATTTTGATACCTTAAAAAACAAATATACTTCTCTGCTTCAGTTAAATCCCCCACAAGCCTGTGAAACAAACGGCAAAAAGATGGAAATAAATATCAGGCGTTAATACGAGTTTTATCCATGAATCGATATGTTAAAAATACTGATGCCCTAAAGAAAGATTTTCTAAAGGTTTCATGAATAATAAAAGCAACTCCAAGTATATTTTTTGATGAGAGATTAAGATTATAACATGAGCTCAAAATAGTCAACTTTACCTGATATCGCCTCTTTAATGTTTCTGTTCCTCTGGAGAAATCAGTTTTGCTTTCATCAATAACTTAAATCTGAAGACTAAAGGCCTGACGCTGCATTTAGATCCTTAGTCCTGGAGACAAAGGGATGGAAACACTTTCAATCAAATGTAACAGAGCGTGTTTGCTAGTGTTTTAATCCAGGTCATCTAATCTGATTCTAATCCAAAACCAAGCAACCGTTTATAAGATCATTTAAATAAAATCCTAACCTGCAGCAGACTGACTGGTTCAGACCTCCGAGGAATCCGGGCCGATAAATCCAACAACCTGAAACAGACAAACTGTGAAGAGCATGCAGCTAATCGCTAACTCATTTAGCATGAGCTGCAGGCAGAGCGAGTGAAGCAACAGGTGGAGTTGGATTTAACTCAGTTAGTGTTATTTGATTCTGTATGTTGCGCTGAGGAAAACGTCTTTATTTCAGCTCTGGAGATCGTTCTTCCCTCCTGTTTTCTTCTCTCTCATCTTTTCATCCTCTGCATGTTGGGACAGCAATTGCATTTTTGAGTGAATGCAACCAAAAGTTTTCATTTCAGCCGCTTTTCTTTTCTTTTTCTAATTTAGATGTGTGCGTTTTGTGGAGATGCATCTCACACTCACTGGTCAGTACGGCAGAGGATCCGTCAGCCTGGGGGTCGGTTTTTCCTCCACAAACTTCGGGAACTTTGTTAAGAGTCCAAAACATTGTACACTTGCTGAAATCCAAAATACTTCTGATAAAAATTGACATCTAGTAGTAGGAGGATGATGATCCAAAAGATTTGGTCAAATAAACACAGAAATGAGTCAAGACACACCAAATTTCATGCATGGCCATCTTTGTTCCCAAAAACTCCAGAGAGAAGAACAGAGGAGAGAAACAGGATCTAGAAAGTTGGTGTCAGGAAGAACGGTCAAAGATCTCTCTGTGAATCGTTGCAGCAGAAGCCTGAGTGCCGTCCAGCTGGCAGGGCGGACGTGTTGTGCAAATTACTCACAGCAGGGATGCCAGTACAAGCGGTGCCAGTAATTTCTGAACAACAACATCTATTTCTAATAACTCATCAATGTGTTTTTTCTCCTAAAATGTGAGTTTGAGGTGAGCTGGAGGAGGAGAAGGCACGCCATGCAGAGAGGGATCATCCGTGCTCTTTGCAGCCATCTGGGGTTCAATTCCCAGGAACTTAAGGCAACATGTGAACAGCTGGTCACATTCAGTCATGTGAATTAAAGGGACATTATGCAGAATTTAAAAAAAAGACTAAATGCTGGAAATTCCTGCACATGAACAGCAATATTTCTGTTATTTAGCCTGAGAAAAGAGCATGATGATTTATTTATTAGTTATATTTTCACATGTTTGTCATTCATTTATACATTTCAAGGATGCAAACTAAATATTAAACTAGAGTTAAATATTTAGTTCGCTAATAAAATATGTATTTGTAAATGTGAGTACAAACTACACAATTAAGTGGCAAACAAAATATTTAGCTTGCTCACTAAATGTTTAGCTGGAAAGCTAAATATTTAGCTTGTTAATTAAGCATTTAGTTAGAGCTGACATTTAGTCAGCTCCAAACAATTTTAAGATAGCTATTATATCTTAGACTAGCTAAGAAATAACTAAAATATGAAAACTTGAATGAAAGGCTAAATAACCAAAATTATTGCTGATAGGTTTTGACAGTGTGAATTTATAAACCAGCAAACCTCCTGCAGATTCATCATTACTCACAACTTCCCTTTTCATCTGTTCAGGCTCTTCCAGCTGAAAAACATGCTCAGATCCATTCACATCTGTAAGGCCACTCACAGTAACCTTGGGCTTTATACGAGGCGCCAGGCGGCTGCAGAATGTGCTAAAAAAATAAATAAAGTAAATGACCTTCCACACATACTGCTGTTTTTGAAATGGTTGTAAAAAGTCAAAAATTGAAGCAAACAAATGCATCCATTCAAGTCTGAGAAGCAGCATGCAGGCAGTCATGCAGAGAATGTATGGAAGCCATCTGAAAATAACATTGGTTATGCTTGCATTGGTAAGAAGTGCCAGACCTTGTAGCCGGGAGCTGCAGGAACGAGGAGCTTGAAATGAAACGGACTCATGGAGAGGCTGTGGATTAGAAGCTCTGATGTGATCCTGTATAAAGGGCTGGTTAACAATACATCATTTCTACTTTTAGGAAACATTTTCACTGCTCTAAAAGAGACATAAGAGCCTCCACTCCACATTCCTACTATTGATCCGTGCATAACGACAACTCAGATTTTCAATTACATTCAGGACGCTGCATTAGCCAAAGACATGCTGAAGGTAATGGACTTTTTTGGTCACAGAGACAGATAGACCTGTTCTTTTGAAACCTCAGTTTTCATTATTAATCCCCTCCTCCCCCACCAAGGCTGTTTCCTTCTACTCTGATCAAGGTGAATCACCTGCTTTACGACAAAAACCAACAGAGTGGAACTCCACTTTCTACAGTGTGTGACGCGTTGGAAACCGTAGAATATCAGAAACATTTACGGTTTAGAGGAACTAGTTTTTATTTTAGTTTGTATTTATTCACTCAATTTTAATGTAAATAGTTTGTGTAACAACTGAAATCATGAATGAAAAGGAGCAGAAAAATTTATAAACTTATAACATCTGCACCAAATTAACATAAAAAGAAAATTAGCTCTTCATATTCGTATTTCTTCTTTATTTCTCGTGTAATGAAATATTTTCATTTTCAACTGGACACAAATGCTTGGTTAGATGTTGTGTTTTTGCAGCATAGGGGGTTTTTACCTTTTCTTTCTGCACAACTGAAGCTTTTTATGGTTCCAATCTCCTGATTTGGTGAGGGAATGAAAAACTGGAGCTTGGTTGCTCCGGCCAACCAGCCGAGATAAGAGATTTCTGAATGGTCAAGGAGTTTTTATTCCTCAGATATTTAACATTATATTGTGTAGATTGGAGTCACCTGCTTGTCTCTGAATGCAGCAGAGTGGGGCTGCACTCCAGGTTGCTAAGGCTTTAATTTAGATCGTATGTTTTTGAAATGCTTTAATGCTTTGGGATGCTAATTTGTCTTTTTTTTGCTGCAGTCCTGTCTTCTGGGAAAATGGAGTGAGTACCAAACATTTTTTGCACATTTAGTCATTATCTACCATTTGCATTCATTACTAGAATTACAGTTTGAGCATTCCAGCTTATAGTGAAATGTTTTGCTGATTTCCAGCATTTTAATGCATCTGTTCTAGTTTGGGGTTACCTGTTTTTGTGAGTGCATGATTTAAAAAAAACAAAACAAAAACAACTATTACCAGGTTTATTGGGTGTTGTTTGTTTTGTAACTCAATTTTAATCCCATCAGGCCAATTTACTCAGATGTTGTCTTTTCTTAAATAACGTGCAGCAGCACAAGTTAAAATGGTGAAACTTTTCATTCTCCAGCAGTGACTGTGGGAGAGTTTTTCAGTCCTCACTGTGGGGGAAAGTAGAAACATGGATTCTCATCAAGCAGAGCAGAAATAGGCCTCATGTTTTATTTCCACCCAGTGAAACGGAGTCACTGATTACTGGTAAAAATATGGATGTAAAAAAAAGTAAAGTACAAATGAATAAATGCTTAAGCTGCTGCTGGCCACAATCCCAACTCAATGTTTACACTCAGAGGTGAAAATGGCTGCACAACCAAACACCCGAAAAGCATCAGTAGAGCCTCCTGCACGACTGCCAAGAATGCAGCAAGTGGTTTCTAGATGGCTGGTCAACAAGAAAACACTTGTCTTTTCCAGTAGCCATTATACAGCTTGCAAACCAAATGTGCTGGGGTTGCCAGGTAACAGGCAGTGCCTGTTGATTTGTAAAAGGCTCATTTTCAAGTCACCAAAAATATGAACTTGTCAGAAAACAGCTGTGTTTAAGCTTTTGGTCTGTTTTTAGAAGCAGTAGAAACTGAATTTGCAGTATAAAAATGGGAATTTTGGAAAGTACACCTGCTGTAAATTTTCTGACATATCTTAACCAACAAAATGATCCGCTTCTATAACTTCATTTTTTCTCACAAGCAGCCGCACATGTGAAGGTTTGTTCTTTTTCTTAATCTGACTCCTCTAATGGTTTTCATAAACCCAAAATAACTCCAGGCGATGTGCTGCAGCACGTGAGCCACTGGCTACGGCACTAACGCCAGGCTCTCTGTTACACGGCCTGTATGATAAATTACAGTTTCAGGGCTAAGAAATGAAAAAACCCAACAAGATGAATGTTGTGTTGCAAATACAAACACTTAGTATTCCACAGAGCCGCCTCTTTATGATAGCCGAACCATCACCCTTGCTATCTGTGGTCTAACAGCAGCTTATGCAGATGTACCCGGCTCTTCAGCTTCTACAAAGCGTCTTCTGCAAGCAGGTCACATTGGCAGCGTCTGTGTGCCGTGGATGAAATTGTAACGTGTCCTGTGAGACGCTCTAAAGCCTTATCACTGAGCTACCTGGCCTTTAACAGCCGCTGATGGAAAGGGACAGATTGAACCTGCAGTCCCTGACAGAAAATGGGAGATATTTGCTTGCTCCATGGTTTGGATTACCTCTTAACTCCAAAACAAAGCCACATGAGTTGTTTGATTTCCATCTAATGCTCCGATGTGCCGAAGCACATCTGTCACAGTGTGAGGCGTGACTGGAGAAGCAACTTCACTCGGATCCAGGAGCCGCAATTGTTGCCGTCATCTGGCGGCCAGCAGAGCCAGAGAGGTAAAATTGGAAAAGTGAATATGTTGCTAATGGCAGAGGAGAAGAGCTGGGGCTATAATACCTAATCCATAGAAGACAATTTCAGGCCCCAGACCCAGGAGAGCCGAGCGCTCGATCCAGAAGCGATTCGCTCGGATTGATCAAGGAGCGTCGTAATCACATGGGAATGAAACACGAGGGCTGCGAGGAGTGTCAGTAGATTCAAAGGTGGGTTTAATGGATTTGAAGAGATGTGCTTTGAAATGATTTCAGAGGGCACAAATAGAATCCTCAAAGCATCTTAGCAGCATTTAACAGCTGTCCGCTGAAATTAACGTTCAGCTACAGTCGGCGGGATCTGGAGGAACAGAGGCCTGGAGTTTCCTCAGCAGGAACTCAAAGACCTTCACTTCCTGAAAGAACAATCGGAAATCTGCTAATGAACCACCAGCTGCAGATAACAGAGGCTTATTAGGCGGAAAGCCTAAATGCACTTACAGATAAAACCGCCCTTTCTTTCATTCAAACGGCTAAAAGCTCGATGCTCCCTCTGAAACTGAAATTGAAACGCTGCAAACGTGGAATGAAATATTCATAAATTCAGCTGTCGTCGAGCTCTTCCTGTTTCAAGATAAAACGCACAACAACAGAAGAAGAAAAAAACACAATCCGACATAATTATTCACCTCTAATGAGTGAGGAGAGCTGGCGGCAGAGCGCGGGATTTCCTGTTCTGCTGCTCACAGCAGCTGCTTCCTGCAGATACCAATAATCTAAAGTTACCAACTCCGCCGGCTGGAGATGCAGGCAGGTAGCTTTTTTTTTCTGTCTCATGAGCTCATGGAACATTTTCACCTCTGTTCAATCTCCTCTGAGCTCTTCATGCATTTGATAAGACGGCAAACAGCAGTGCCACTGACACACTCATATTTATGGAGGACAAATTGTGACTGATGCCTTCAAAACTTTGATTGAATTTTGCACAGAAGTGGTTTGATTTAAAGCTTCAATCAAGTTGCGTCTTCACTCTGAGATTTTACAGCTGAGCGAGAGTCAAATGCACGTTAAGACGTTCCTCCTGATTTTTTACATCTGGCAATTTGAAAACATGAAACTAATTTATTGAGCTGATAAAAGGAGATGCATTGAAAATAGTAGGAGGCTTTACAAACAAGTCAACCTTGGATATATTCGTCTGAGTGTCTCCTTTAAATGTGCGTCGTAAACGACTCAGCTTTTTCAATGCCTGACAAATAAAATCCAAGGATAATAAAAATGAGATTAAAAGATGCTTTTTTTTAATCGTCCCATTCAGATATTCAATCATTCACATGTTGGCGTTAATAATAAAGCATCAAAGTTTTTTTAAGTGACAAACTGTGAAAAAGTTCAAAGGGTGTGAATACTTTATGGATGACTGGAGGTAAAAGTTTAAAAAGTTCTGTTGCAATATTGATAAATGAACAGTTTCCTTCAGTAATGTAAACTTTGGTAAAATGAATTATTCATGACAACAAAACAGGATGTGATGACTTCTCTGTTTACATGATGCTGATGAATCTCCGAGGCGACCTTTCATCCCGTCCTGTTTACTAGAGATCTGATGGCGAAGCGAAAAGCAGATCAAATCAGATGGAGTCAAGTAAACTAAAGCCTGGAAGAGGCTGCAATCAATAGCTCAGAAAATTAAAGTAATTATATCATCCTGTGATGCCTTTTGATTCATAAAACCAGTGACAAAAACATTTTTACAGAGAACAAGAAAAGTTAGAATTTACACCAGCCAGTTTAAAGGAGAAGACAATAATAGTGAATAAATCCTTCCTCCCCTGTTAAACTTTAGGTTGTGAATTTTTTAAAGAGAATTTTTGATTATTTCTTTTCTTGAATGTTTTCACTTTGGTTTGATTGAATCAAAGTTGCAAATTTTTTGACATTTTTAGTTGCACTGCATTGCCAAACCAACTGAACTCTTCGAGCAACCTGTTCCCCTCCTCGCCTGTGGGGGCGCTGCACCAAGACACATTGAAGAAAACAATACAGAAATCTCAGAAGACACAAAATGCAAACAAAAATGGAGTGGCATAAGATTTTAGCGGTTGTAGGATTTCTCTTTTGCCTTTGGTAAAAGACTAAGAGCCGTTTCTCTAGAGTTTGATTAAAGTCTTCAGCTTAATGAGGAAATACAGGAGCTGATGAAGAATGGGTTGTTTATAAAGGCTGCAGAAAAAGCCTTCATCTCTTCAGAGAGAGTATCTAAGTTGAACTTACAGAAGAATTAACCACAAAACACAAATCTACTCCAGAACGAATAAAAGGTATTTCAGTGGACTAGTCAAAGTCCAGACCTTAACTTCTTCAACGTTCTCCAGCTGTGCAAAATAGAAGAGAAAGAATTGAGGACAAAGTCTTGATAAACTCAACCAGGAAGGGTTACTGGTGGGGTGTACTTACTTTCCCGTCAATGAAAGAACCTTTTTTTTCTGCACCTCTCCTCTTTAACTTCAAAAGATAAGAAAGGAAACAACCGGCGCTGAGGACGGTTCCCTCTGTGGCCTGGAAGCCCCTCCGGCGTTGTGTTTCACAACAGGCAGAGAAGAGAACAAGTGAAGGATTTTGATGCATGAGGGCAAACGGAAAAAAAAGGAACCTTTCTCACATCCAGCCCACCAGTTTCTAGTTTCCAGTGTCCTGCTGTTCAGTTTACTGGAGTCTTGGAGCTGTTTAAGGAGCCATGCTGTGCAGGAGAACAGAAAGCGGCTCGACTTTATCCTGTCGAAATGGTCAAGAAACGTCTGCAGCAGCAAGTCTGGATGACAGCGTATGCTAATCACAGTTTTCAGCATCACAGATGTGTGTTGCTCTGTGCTTGATTGCAGCCTCATACATGTGATCCCAGATGCCGGATTTCTGAACACTTAGACAGATGGTTCATCTTTTTCATCTTTCCTCAACCTTCTGTTGATTTTATAACCTTCCCATAATCAAAATTCATGAATTTTTCAATCTTTTGTTGCCCTTGGCTCAACCTCTGACATGTTCTGCAACAACATCAAAATGGATGTTTTTGTTACTTTACAGACATCTATTTTATTTAAAACTTTTAAGAATTGGTTGTACTCAGAAAGGCCTTTATGTCTGCATGACTTTTATTTCTGCATCTTATTTCTGACACTGTCTGGATTTCTGTTTGTTGACCACTCCAAGCATCACTCCACATGACGCTCTGTTTTAAAAGACAGAGGCTGGCTGATTGCTGTAAATGAATAATGTATTTCATCACCTACTGTAATATGAACGCATTTCATCTCAGCGCGCAGCGTGCATTGTCCGGGCCGGGGCAGAAGCCTAATTACATGGTTTCAGCTCTGGGAGACGCTGGCCTAA